TACCATTATTGCGTAATTATAATACATTTATAACGTAATTAATATACCATTATTGCGTAATTATAATACCATTATATTGTAATTAAAATACCATTATTTTGTAATTAATATACCATTATTTATGTAATTATGATACCATTATTGTGTAATTATAATATCATTATTGCGTAATCAATACACCATTATTGCGTAATTATAATACATTTATAACGCCATTATTATACCATTATTGCGTAATTATAATGCCATTATTGTGTAATTAATATAACATTATTTTGTAATTAATATACCATTATTTTGTAATTATAATACCATTATTTCGTAATTAATATACCATTATTTTGTAATTATAATACTTATATTTTGTAATTAATATACCATTGTTTTGTAATTATAATACCATTATTTTGTAAAATTGATATACCATTATTGTGTAATTATAATACCATTATTGCGTAATTATTATACCATTATTTTGTAATAATATCATTATTGCATAATTATTATACCATTATTTTGTAATTATAATATCATTATTGCGTAATCGTAATTAATATACCCTTATTTTGTAACTTTATACCATTATATTGTAATTAATATACCATTATTGTGTAACTTTACACCATTATATTGTAATTAATATACCATTATTGTGTAATTATTATATCATTATTGCGTAATTAATATACTATTATTTTGTAATTAATATACCATTATTGCGTAATTATAATACCATTATTGTGTAATTATAATAGCAATATTATGTAATTAATGTACCCTTATTTTGTAACTTTATACCTTTATATTGTAATTAATATATCATTATTGCGTAATTATAATACCATTATTTTGCAATTAATATACCATTATTGCGTAATTATAATACCATTATTTTGCAATTAATATACCATTATTGCGTAATTATAATACCATTATTTTGTAATTAATATACCATTATTTTTTAAATATAATACCATTATTGTGTAATTATTATATCATTATTGCGTAATTAATATACCATTATTTTGTAATTAATATACCATTATTGCGTAATTATAATACCATTATTTTTTAATTTATATACCATTATTTTGTAATTATAATACCGTTATTTTAATTATATACCATTATTTGTAATTATAATACCGTTATTTTTAATTAATAAACCATTATTTTGTAATTATAATACCATTATTTTGTAATCGATATACTATTATTATTTGATCATATCAGACTGCCAATATCAACACGTTTAAACCTCGGTTTTGCAAACGATCAGTAATACTTTCAGTTAGAAACACTAACATGTGTGGGTTCCAGTGAGACTCTCTATTCTTGTCTGGTATACCAACAAAAATGACTACATTTTGCTCCATATCATATACTTCATCTGTAAAGTGTATCAAATTATTAATCATTTTCTCATATGTGTAAAATGTATATAATAAGTTACCAAACAGTCGTATTCTAGAATCCTCCGTAATACGAAAATATAGACAAAACCAAAAGATATTTTGACGAAAGATAAGTTCGGTTACATGCGTAATAGGAATAAAAACTCGCATACTACATATGATGTAACATGTCTGCTGACACGTATTTTTGGAAAGTTTTTGTATAGTAGATTGGAAACTCTTCTGACAGTGTTGAATACATTCTTCGTCATATTTAATCTGTGTAATCTTATAATTTTCTCCGTAATTTAACCAAACGCGTAAATTATAAATGATAACATTTGAAAACTCCGTGATATAGCGTTGGCATATTTCGAAAGGTATTTCGCCGCGAAATGTACAGTACAATCATCAATCGTAGTTATGCATTACCAATATTAGTAATAGTTGCATATTTAAACTATAATCATGTTTGCCTAATTAAATAAAATGATATGTTTATGAGAATGTTCTTTCTCACGTTTGACCAAAGACTCCCGTTACTTACGCTCAGCGATGCCAGTAGGGAAGTTGCTCCACGATTCGATCGGGTCAAACTTTATATATAATACAAGAAATATTACATATATAAATCGAAACACACCTAAAGTCAAGTGAGGATAATTCTACTAACCTTCTGGGATGTACTGTGTAAATTGAATCAGGAGTTCACACACTTTCGTTCTCAAAGATGAGTGATTGAATATTACACAAAACCTGTCTAATTATGATGATAATTATATCACCGTGTTATAATATTCTAAACATGTGTGCCTCCATGCATTGCGCTGAGCTTATATTAATAAATATAGTTACATCTAAACTGCTATTCAATTTAATCCCATAATTAGTCAACCCAAATTAAAATAATATGTTAGGAGAATCCTATGATCATACAAACACGCCAAAGCTGAACATAATGGTGTCTTGATCGATGCCATTATATTTGTCGGAACGGGTTCCACTGGCAGCTTTTTTGTTTGTTTGTTTTTTAAACAATGCGTATATTCGACATTCTCGATTGATAATGTTCATAATTTCGCATATAAATCACACATCAGCCTGAGGATATCTATCTCGCGTCTATATCTCTAATTTTATTTCATTTCATAATGTAATCATTATTATTTTTTGTATTTAATTTTTAAACAATTTAATCATTATGTTAACTTTTTCATTACGAAAATACCCTAATGAAAGAATCCTAGTTATCCATGCCCGACTCATCTAATATAAAAAGCATCGAGTATGCTTGCGAAGTAATCAGGAGTGGAGCCAGTTAACAATATTACGACAGTTTAAATTACTAACAACCTCAAATCTCAGATTCGTATAGCTAATCGATAATGAAATTAAAATGCGAATAAAAAAGAAGCCCTTTATATCTGTACTTGTGTTTGCTTGTCTGCCAGAATCGCCATATATTTTAGTTGTTTTTTTTGAGGTTAGAACAAGGCCTAAATATTGATAATATCTAGTGTTCTTGAAACCACAATCTTTTTCAAAATTACTGCAGTGCCCAACTTTTGGCAGAATAATCCCCAAATATAAATTAACCCCTGTACGTTTACTGTCAGTAAAAATAACAATGTAGTCAACTATGAGAACGAATTATAAATATCTTGTGTTAACTGGATACCAAAGGAGATAACATCAAATGTTACCTTGTTACTAGGCTTATATCTAAGACCTATCCTTTGTCAAACATTGTGGAGTGAATGTCAGTGCTTGTCAACATTTATATGGTAGAACTAATTCGATAAAACGAATCGTCGTTAAAGCGAGAGAATCGTCACCTGCGCACGCGCGGGAATTGAGTCCCAAGCAACGATAACAACACACGCTAAAAACGCAAAGGCTCATGGGTAGACGCTTGTTTGTAAACAATGACACGCCATGGCCATCTAACGCATGTGCAGGCGACGATTCCCCCGCTTTAAACATAATTTATGCAATGGTAACCTTAAAATGACACGCGTTCTTATCATACAGTTGACTGTATTACTTGCGTACAGCTATTCATTTTGTCTGAATTTTTCATTTTATATTTTGATATACAGTAATTTCCTCGACCGATAATGGTGTGTCTTGTTTCGCGTCTTGTCTTCAAATACGTACATCATCTTCCGGTGTTGAATATTCAATAAATGTGATTCATATGAGAGCGGTTTTATTCGAATGTCGAACGACATT